ATTTTTTATACAAAACATTCATTTAATATTTATTATTTGATTTATTATTAATTATATATTTGTTTGATTGATGAACCAAGGTGCTGCTGGGGATTGAATGGGGGATGACAGCGATGATACAGAGCAGTGAAATACAAGAACAAAAGTGTTAGATGCTTTGCAGGGATATAAATGGAATGAAAAAATGAGGTTTCCCTTCCTCATGGACTCGTTTTCTTCACCGTTCTGTGAAAAGTATGGAAAGGAGCAGTACCACATTTCTGCTTCCACTCTCTTCTATTAATTTACCAACCAAACAAGAGACTCCTTTTCTTCCTTTTCTAGGTCTCTGTTTCCTATTTATCTCATAACAAAGTGTAAGTCTTCCACAATCTATACTTACTAGACTAGATCTACCTATAGAAACTTCCTTACTTGACAAAAACAAAATCATTCTGCAATAAAATCCAAAAGAAAATTAGATTTCCATAAGAGATTTCACCTCAAATGACACATTTCTAACAGAGGGTGCCCATTCAGCAGCAATTCGCCTCTTCATTTCCTCAGGGTCAGTCGTAGGTGTCAATCTAAGATCAAAACCAGCTTCTGCCTCCGAAGGTTGCACATTCATCGCAAATCCCTTCATAAACATCATTTAGCAACATCAACACAAATCAACAACCATCTTCCCAAATAACAAAAAAATTTAATTCATCTACACCTTACACCTACATCCAATAGATTTCCCCGGATAGATATTTGTTTAGATGGTAATATAACAAAGTCACATCATAGTGATTTCATACAAGCATCCAATCAAATTGCAAGGAAAAAAATGTGAGGCATTATGCAAATATTATGCAAATGTAACACTCACATCTTGGGTGGGAACTCCTGCTTTGAGATAAACCGGATTAACAGAAACAACTTCAGAATTGAGAGCCTTCCCAGCCTTAACAATGTCAAACTGACTCTCTCTAAACTTAGACACAACTTCAACACTCTTCATCAAATTCTCCATAGCACTATTATCATACAACTTTGAACCATGTCCGGGTTGTCCCTTAGCCTTAATCTTCAAATTCCACGGAATCCTATCAGCATAGAAAACCCTAAACTCATCCCAAGGGGAAGCCTGTCCTTCGTCAAGTGCAAACCCAACGTTAAGTGCTTGAAATTCCTCAGACTCAACGAATTTTGCAGCGCCACCAAAGCCACCGACCTCCTCATCGGGGACAAAGGAGATATGAACGGAACGAACAGGAACGAAGCCGTTACTGCGGAGATTGCGGATTGCCTCGAGATACTGCATAGCTATACATTTATCATCCTGTGCGCCGCGGGCAAAGATGTTGCCGTCGGAGGTGCGGGTAGCGGAGAAGGGAGGGTGTGTCCATTTAGAAGATTCGGCGGGGACAGAGTCGAGATGAGAGTTTAGGAGGATGGATGGGAGAGAAGAGTGGGAGCCAGGCCAGGTTAGAAGGAGGAGAGGCTTGCCTGGGGAGAATTCTAGGGTTTTGTGGAGGATTCCGCCGATGGATTCTACTTGGGAGATGAGGTATGAGACGGCGGAGGAGTAGTCTGGGGTTGGGTGTGCGGTGTTAATTTGGAGGTAGCGTTGGAAACGGGTGATTGGGTTATCGTTTTTATCTTCGTGGGTTGCGGAGAGGAGGGTTGATGAAAGGAGGAGAGTGAAGAATATGAGTGAGAGACGACACTGTGAAGTTGCTCTTGCCATCATTATTGTTGTTGGGATAAACACTGGAGTCGTTCCGTTCAGTTCACTCCCAGCACACCTCAGTCTATATAAAAACTTAAGCACACCTCAGTCTATATAAAAACTTAAATAAATACTAGATAGATATGTTTTTCAAGGAATCTAAAAATAAAATCTTTTCTAATCATTTAAAGCTCGTGCTGAGAGGTCTCAATGGCCAAGTATTATTGCTCAAAGAGTCTCATTGGCCAAGTATTATTTTCCGAAATTTTCACCCAAATAACTTATTTTACTCTCCTAATATTCAAATACTCCATTTTCTCTCATATTTCCCAATCTACCCATGTTTCTGAATTTTTTTTTATACAAGGGGGGCGCCGTGGGGTATGGCTCCTCCCTTATAATTTGTAGGGGGTGTCATCCAGGATGGAGGCACCCTATAAATTATAAAGGGGGCGTCATACCCTTTGGCTCCTCCCTTAAATGACTTAAAGGGGGGCGTCATCCCTTATGGAGCTCCCTTTAACGAAATTTATTTTTTAAATACACTATAATTAAAATAATTAAAATATAATATTATTTTATTCCAAAAATTTTTTAATAAATAGTTGGACTTGTTGTTAACATTGTTTCATCCAAATTTAGAAGAGTGAGTCATGTACCTTAGAAGATATGAGAATGTAATTTTTTCGAGGACGAAGCCTCCGACTTAGAAAAGCTGATATAAATATTAAATTCCACTGTTACACAATTTTTAATGACCAAATTAAATCTACCTAGAACTTGTTCCAACATTTGGACAGTTTTTCCTCGTATGCCCGGGAAGACGACATATTCCGCACAATCTTTCCATTTTCTCAGTTGTATCCATTTCAATTGTAATTCGCGTGCTTTTGGGGCGGCCCTTTTTGTTTCTTCTCATATTTTCATTGTGGTAGATTGTGTCTCCATGATAGGTTGGCCAATAGTCCTCACTAGCTACCACTGGAAAACTGTTACTGTAGATACCGAATAAGTTCACGACCTTGTAAACTTCTGATAGCTGCAAGAATGGATCCTGACGAGCAGTTGAACATGCGGCAATGACATGTGAACAAGGCATGCGGAAGGTTTGAAACTTTCCGCAGTCGCACCAATTTTTATGAAGTTCCACCCTGTAGTGTCTCATTGGCCGACCCTCGTTGTGATCCATTGTCTCATCAACAATGAAGCTGTAATCGTGACGATCAAATGGTCTAACTCGATGTGAGGCCGCCTTAGAAGTTTCATCCCTCATATACTTCATGCTTGATTCGCTGAATATTTGCCCTGATTGCAGTACAGCACTCCATTTTTTGCCTCTTGCCGCAAAAAGTGACCCCAATATGTAATACGTTGCCCTTACCAACGCAGTGATGGGGAGGTTCCTAGTTCCCTTAAATACGTCGTTTAGGGATTCTACAAGATTTGTGGTCATGTGACCCCATCTGCACCCTCCATCAAATGACCTTGTCCATTTCTCGACTGGAATGTTATCCACCCACCTTAATGCTTCCGCGCTTGACAACCTTATTTCTTCTCGGTAATACATGAACGATGGTTGGTTTAAGGCATACCCAGCGTTCACAACTTTTTTACGGAGATTTCTGTCTTTAATTTCCCACATAAAATTCTGAGCAATGTGTCTTATGCAAAAGACATGGACAGAAGGAGGATTGTGCCAACCATTAGCAGGATTGTTGTAGGCGCTCACAATAGAAGCATGTCTGTCAGAAATCAGACATAAGTTGGGTTGAGGTGCGACATGTATTATGAGATTTCTGAGGAAGAAACTCCAAGCTTCGCCTGTCTCACCCTCGACCAGGGCAAAGGCAATCAGAAATATATTATTATTTCCGTCTTGTGCAACCGCCATCAACAATGTTCCTTTGTATTTTCCATACAACCATGTTCCATCGACTTGTATAACTGGATTGCAGAATGCAAAACCTTTGATACATGGTTGAAATGCCCAAAAGAGACGAGAAAATATCCTACTTCCATCAACACATGTTCCTTCAGGAGTGTATGCTGGTAGTGACTCCAATATTACAACCGTACCAGGAACATATTTTTGAAGTGCTAGTAGATACTGTGGAAGTTGATGGTAAGAATGCTCCCAATTCCCATATACATGTTCCACCGCTTTTATTCTACCTATCCAAGCTTTCCTATACGATTGGGTATAGTTGAACCGTGTAACCACACGAGAGATAATTGTGCTCACCTTCACAAATGGATCAACGCCCACAAGATGCAAAATCTCTTGTGATATCAATTCAGAGCTTAGCTTTCCATGATCTTGCCGATTGATGTTGGTTCTAGACATAGTTGAATGATAATTTAAGGGATGTGTTAAGATACAATGAGATGTATAATATTTTGTCTTGAATGTATACATATAGATGAAATGGCCACGAATTTAATATTATTAAAAACATAAGGGGGCGCCATGGGGTATGGCTCCCCTTCATTAATACATAAAGGGGGCGTCGTGGGGTATGGCTCCCCTTCCTTAAGACATAAGGGGGGTGCCGTGGGGTATGGCTCCCCTGTGACATGTGTAAGAAAATTCACTTTTTGCATGCATGCAGAATGACAAGTGTACGAAATTTTCTACACATCAATCTCTTTTCTACACAAATTCATCTATCTCATTAACTTCTCTACACATCAACCAATATTTCAACTACACAAATTTAATTTTTACCTCTACAACCATAAATTCAAATTTCAAATTTCAAATTTCAAATTCAAAATTTTTACTATAAATACTACTCCTCCTCATTCCAAAAAACACATCAAATATATCCAACAATTCAAATTCTCCCAATATTTTCCTCATATATCCACACTATAGAAGTCATGTCTCTGTTAACATTGGGTGAACGGTATAACCAATCCTAGCGGTAGTGTCATAGGAGAACTCTTAGGGGTTGAACCAACCCCACGAGATATGAGGGGCCAAAAAAATTTAATGTCATGGCTCAAAACAATTTATAGAGACTTGAGATTAACTCGAGATTCTCCTGAAATATTAAAAATTAGAAAAACAAGAATTTATATTATGTTATTAATAGGGTTATTTTTATGTCCGGATACAAGTGGAAACGTTGTTCACTTTATGTACTTACCTTTATTAGAAGATGTAAATAAAATAAAAACATATAGTTAGGGGTCCGCAACACTAGCGCACCTATATCGGTCTTTATGTAACAACTCAATAGCAAATTCGGGAAACTGGACCGGATATGGTGTTCTTCTTCAAGCATGGGGTTGGTCAAGAATGACCAATCTAGCACCTATCCAACAAAATAATTTTGAATTCCCATTCTCTAAAAGGTAATTATTTTTCCCAATTCTCACTTATCTATCATAGTATTTCAATTAATTAATCATATTATTAATAAATGTTTTCTTTTCGATTTGTAGGTGGTCTTCGCTTGGAATGAATTATGACAACTGTCCATATTACAATATCACGCAGTACAGAAATCTTATTGATCACTTGGGTCAAAATGATGTACACTCACAAACCTAACTATTTATGTTATACTCTACTTGAATATTATTATAAAATACTTAATATTATTTTTTTCCTCCTACAGTTCATTTGGCGGCCGTATCTTGGTCTAGAAGCCTTTCATGAAGTTGAACGACAAGACTCTGCGGCGTGGAGTGCAAATGTGCCGATTATCAACTTCACCACCGTGGAAATGCACAACAGTGATCATGTGAAACTTCAATTTGGAATGCTTCAAGATATTCCATGTCCGCCAAAGTGCATCCCCGACAAATATCACACCAGTAAAGTCTTCGACTAATGGGAATATAATCCATGGACCAAGTATGCAAAACATGAGTGTCGTGAATGGAGGCATCGCAACAACTATGTTTTGCCTGACACTATGTTTCCATACGAGATGAAACAATCAATACAATACATGACTTGGTATAGGTCTGTATCAATTGGTTTCATTTCACATCCAAGGTATCTTGTTGACCCACGCCAACAAGATTCATCATCAAGGCCCCAACAACCAACTCAGCCCTATTTCCAACCGCCAACACAACCCCATTTCCAACCGCCAACCCAACCTCATTGCCAACCATCAACCCGATACCATTTCCAACCGCCAACCCAACCCCATTTCCAACCATCAACCCAACCCCATTTCCAACCACCATCCCAACCCCATTTCCAACCGCTAACCCAACCCTATTTTCAACCCCCACTCACACAATCACAACAATATGAACATACCTCTAACCAATTCACTCCATTCACACAAACTCATTCACAATCCACACAATACCACACATACTCCATGGATACTACAAACCAAATAAACACCCAGTTTCAAACACCCAATCAACCACTATGCCAAAAAAGACCTTTAGCAGCATTTTTTTTGCAGTTAGTAGCGCTTTAAAGCGCTGCCTAAAGTGGCGCTGCTAAAGGTAAAGGCAACGCTTTTTTTCAATGAAAAAGCGCTGCTAAAAGCTCCCTTCAGCAGCACCTTTAGCAGCGCTTTTTTAGCCCTTTAGCAGCGCTTTTGTAAGCGCTGCATAATTCCCCCAACCATCCCCCCCTTTAGCAGTGCTTCCACAAAGCGCTGTCTTATACCCCCCCCCCCCTTTAGCAACGCTTTTACAAAGCGTTGCCATAGCCCACCCTTTAGCAGCGCTTTTTACAAGCGCTGTCTTAGACCCCCCCCTTCCAAACCTATAGCAGCGCTTTTGTAGCGTATCGTTTGTGACCTTTAGCAGCGCTTTTATGTAAAAGCGTTGTCTAATGTCCCAGATTTAAAAAAAAAAATTTAAATATTCACCCTGTTTTGTATCTTTTACCAACAACATGCTTATATTACACAAACATGCTTATAATTCAGGCCTTTATTTCAACACTTTGGCCTTATAAATAAAATTCAAACTTTGGCCTTAAATATACAATTCAAACTTTGGCCTTATATGTACAATTCAAAACTTTGGATACATTGTAACTCATGACTTTGTTCATAAATATTTTAATATACACATAAACCTGTTTAAATATGTTACAACAAAATTCGATCCTCAAAATTACAACAACACAAATACATTCAATTCACATATAATTACAAGTCTTCCAATCCGATAATTCTATATAATTCTCAACTCAAGAATAAATTGACACCATTCCTTTTTAATTTCTTCCAATTTTGCTTTCGTGTAAGTAGCGCACTTGAATTCATCAAAATACTACATAATATAACAAATCGAATAAGATTTAAGTTTAAAACTAATTACGTACTCAGATGAAGTATCGGATAATTATCAAAATGAACCATATAACTTATATAATGAATTGATCCATACCATGACTGGAATCTCAAGTTGACTAGAAAGAATAATTTCCCTCATAAAGCGCAATACAAAATATCCACAGTCAATACCATTGCACTGCCGAAGACACTGTAAATGGAAAAAACAAACGAACATTTATCCGGTTATATAGTTTAAATAGTTTTATCAAGTAGAACCACTATAACAGTCAAACATGCGAAAATATACCTCCACTCTGATCCAGTTGATGTTGTTAGCCTTACTTTTTGGCACCGTTGCATCTCTTTGTGCTCTGAATATTTGTATAACTCTAACATAATATAAGCGCATATTTAGAACAATGTCACATAATAAATAAAGATATATAATTAAAGACAACAGTATATCTCATCACTTACGTATCAACAAAGTTCCTCAAATTTTCATATTTTGTTGTATCGCCATCCAATGAATCTATATAATACATTATTTCTTTCGTCGGATTAATTGCGATCAACAACCAATGTCCACTATAAAATAAGACAACAGTTTAGACGGAAATGTTATATATATATATATATATATATATATATATATATATATATATATATATATATATATATATATATATATATATATATATATATATATATATATATATATATATATATATATATATATATATATATATATATATATATATATATATATATATATATAGAAAGGGAAAAATCGAACAATTATAATAAATGAATTTAGAATAAAATCTAACCCATGGCCAGTATTATATGGCAACAAGAACAACTTCTCCGTAGTCGCGCGCATAAATCTCTGCACTGTGTACTCTTTGACTGTATCTGGTGACTGGTCTATTATACGTGAATTGACACAGCTAGCAGATAAGAATGCGAATACTGAAGTCAATTCATTCGGGACCAATAACTTGTCATACAAGAACCTAAAAAAACATAATCAACATTAGAATATTCAGTTAAACGAGCAAATTTTAAAATGTTCAATTATTTAATTAAAATGGATCGAAGTACCTGATGTATGAATGCATAACACCGACGCCCAATTCAGAATGGTTGAAAACCTGATCAAAATCCTCCTTAGCAATTGTTTCGGGATATTCAAAACCGAAAATACCTGCCTCTATGTGTATTTGACGGACGCCACCCTCAGGCACATCTGATGTTCCGACATATGTTTCAAGGCACATCCTAAATCGAGGAACAATTGCTTTTCTGGGAACCTTGGAAGTTTCAGGCATCTTACCCTTGCTGACTTGTTGCGACTGCTGATCATGAACCTAAAAGTCATATATAAGTTTAGTAATTAATGTATAACAAGATAGTCATGTAACTGTAGTAGTACTTGTTTCTTTGATGCAGCTGAATCGGTATCCCGCACAATAATTCTATCATCTTTTGATTTGGATTTTGTAGGAGTCTAAGATCATCATGTAAATAAGAAAATGTAGATGTAAGAATAACTTTCATGTATGGATCATAAAACATTTGAGTATTAAAAGGTTCAACCTACCTCATCATCTATGCAAATCAGATTTGCCGGCCATGCCACATACGCTCCTATTACGTCTCCCACCACTGTTGGGCCTGAAATATCATCTGGTATAGGCAACAACGCACTCCCCTCTAATGCAATATCAATAGATACTTTAAAAAATCTAGAAGGGAGCGGTTTATGGTGAAGTAAGTCTCCCAGAAAGTTATGCACCTTTCCCTTGCCAACCATTCGATGAGTAGGTAACGATAAATATAGCCGGCAAAGTGAAATGCCCTAAACAAGTAATGATCAGTTAATGTGTCAATTAAGTAAAGTGTGCTAAATTAATTTCAATGTAATATATACAATTACCTCTGGAAGCTTTTGCGGACAACCGATACTATCTTTGTCACTAGTAGCTCTACCCTCTGGAGCGCGTCTTTCCGACATGTATCTCTCCTTATCCTTCTGTAATTCACAGATTTGCGCTTTCAATTCCTCCAAAGTATCCATCACTTCTTTATTGGTTGGATTTTTTTCTTTGGCTGCTTATACAGTTTGGATGGAGTGACACCAAATCCCTTACCCCTCACACGCCCAGAATACTCAGGAATATTCAGCACCCGGCTCAGTAAGCTCCTGCAATCATCGTCCTCGGCGGGAGTTATGGTCTGGGACAGAGTCTCCTGAAATATAGATAAAAACATATATAAATATATTACACACTTTTGATCAGTTACTGACAAAGATAACGTTGTACTTACACATTGTTCAAAGACTTGTTGAACTTCTTCCTGAACGACTCCATCTCGTCCCACACGGGCAGCCTTCCATACAACATGGTCCGGAAGAGATGTCGCATCACTCTTCTCCTCTTCCAACTACGCATTAAGACGGATAATAAAGCATTATATCCTATTATATATACTTACTATTTTTTGTAAATATATCATATTAAAGCATTTATATGTACTTACTATTTTTTGTTCTAATCGTGCATATCCCAACCGGCCCTTTCTGTATGGATATGCGGGATTTGATGCCCGTTGACGATTTACGCCACTAACAACCTGAAAAAACAAGTTTATCAGAACTTCTGTACATGGAAGAAGTATATATACTATACATAGTTCATGATAAGTTGTACTTACTTCAAATTCTTTTGATCTTCGCTTTGCAACAAACGTCTCTCATTCTTCCTCCGAAATCAAATCCGCGTACTTCATCGGACGCTCCGAGTCAACAAAGTTTCCTTCAGAATCTTTTAGAAACTTGTTTGTTAAAAACGCTCTAAATCCCCTCAAGCGTTTTCCGGCCAATTGAATACAATATTTTCTCCTACGATCTTCAATATTGAAAGATCTCTGCAAACAAACACACATACATATAACATGTTAGTATATTTAATTTAAAGACGTAAATGTCAACAATAATTAAACAATTCCAATATTATACCTGAATCTCGGTCCAAATCTTATCTTTAGCCGGTTGTAATGAAACAATTCTCCAATTATCGCAAGTAATCGGAACTTGTGAACGTACAAGTGCTCCGATGTAACTTGTTAGCAACGCACCGTTAGGCTCAACTAACTGATCTCTTTCATTCTAATGGACATCATACTTTACTCCTTTATCTCTCGCACGGATGATTTTTTTCATAATTGTTACGCCTCTTTTAATATCGCCTTCCACATCTTTTGTTGTTTGTTTTCCATCATGTGATGTTTCCTCGTTGCTGGCCATAATATATATACCTGTAATTCAGAAAAACCAAAGTATCAAATGAATGACATGCAAATATGTAAATAACAAATATATACATAAGAAATATGTAAATAATAAAAACATGGTACAAATAAGAAATAAGAAAAACATGGTATAAATAAGACATGTGTAAATAAGAAAAACATGTTACAAGTACCTTTAACATCTCTTTCTTTTTTTCGTTGTAACGGGGTTTACTTGTCTCTTAACAACACAGACAGATGGATTGATCCAAATTCCCTCGTTA